GGTAGTGCATGCCTGTAATTCCGGCTACTTGGAAGGCTGAGGCGGAAGGATTGCTGGAGCCCAGCAGGTCGAGGCTTGTGGTGGCGGAGAGCGGCCACTGCACTCCAGACAGGGTGACAGCGAGACTCCAACTCAAAAAAAAAAAAAAAGAAAGTTTACTGGATAAAGAAAAGGTGATACATATACACAGTGGAATATTGCACAGTCATAAAGGAGAGTAAAATCATGGCCTTTTCAGCAATATGGATGGTGCTGGAGACCGTCACAGTAAGTGAACTATCACAGAAACAAAGAAGGGAACACCGTATGTTCTCACTCCTCAGCAGTCCCTGAACACTGGTCACACGAGCACAAGGGTGGAATGGCAGATGCTGGACACTGCTAGGAGAGTGAGAAATGGAGGAGGAAAGAGGGGCACATGACTACACACTGGGCCTGGTCCACTATCAGAGAGGGCCAGTTAAAATCCCAAACTTCACCTGCATGCAACTTATTTATATAATAAATGCTCACTAGTACCCCATAAACTAACATTGAAAAATAAAAATAAAAGAATATGGGGCCGGGCTTGGTGGCTCAGCCTGTAATCCCGCACCTTTGGGAGGCTGAGGTGAGTGGATTGCCTGAGCCCAAGGGTTCGAGACCCGCCTGGGCAGGCGAGACCTCATCTCTACGATAAATAAAAAAATTAGCCGGGTGTGGTTGCACACGCCTGTAATTCTGGCTACTCGGAAGGCTGAGGCGGAAGGATCGCTGAAGCCCAGCAAGGCGACAGAGTGAGACTCCAACGCCAAAAAAAAAAAAAAAAAAAGAATATGGGCATCAGTATCAGAAAGACTGATTTTAATTATTGGCTTTGAAATGTGTTGGGAGGTTATGTGGGCCATATTTTACTCAACCTGCTCTTATTGCTATTGTTTCTGTCCTTGTGATAATCCTTCCTGACTGATTTCTTCCCCTAATCATGCCTCAGCCAGTAGCCAATTCTGCAATAAGGATGCAGTAGTTTTTCCTTTTCAGTGGTTTCACTTGCCATAGTTTCAGTTACCAGTGGACAGCCATAGTCTGAAAACTCCAAATATAAATAATAATTCATACATTTTAAATTGTACACTACTCTGAATAGCCTGATGAGATCTGATACTGTGCCTGCTCTGTCCCCAGTGGGACATGGATCAATCTTTTTGTCCCATGAACCTTAGCTATGTATACTCCCCAACTGTGAGTCACTTAGTAGCTATCTTGGTTGTTGGAGTATTTGGTATCGTAGTACATGTGTTCAAGTAACCCTTATTTTACTAAAAAATGGTCCCTAAGTGCAATAATAGTGATGCTAGCATATTTCTATAATTTTTCTATTTTATTTTTAGTTAGTATTAATCTCTTACTGTGCCTAATTTATATTTAAACTTTATAATAGGTCTATATAAATAGGAAAACAAGCCAGGTTCGGTGGCTTATCCTGTAATCCTAGCACTTTGGGAGGATGAGGTGAGCTGACTGCCTGAACCCGTGGGTTCAAGACCTGCCTTGACAACTTGGCGAGACCTCATCTCTACAATAAATCAAAAAAGTTATCCGGGCGTGGTAGCGTGCACCTGTAGTTCCAGCTACTTGGAAGGCTGAGGCGGAAGGATTGCCGGAGCCCAGCAGGTCGAGGCTGCAGTGAGTCTGGATGATAGAGTGAGACTTCAACTCAAAAAATAAATAAATAAATAAAAAGAGGAAAAATATGTAATATGCACTATGCAGTTCAGGGATCCACTGAAGGTCTTGGAATGGATCCCCTGTACATAAGGGAAGATTACTATAGCATAGTCTACATTCTATAATTGTAAAATCACAAAGATCCCCTCTTTCTGAAAACAGTTGAGGAAGTTTGAGAATTTTAAATTTCAGCTTTGGCCTTATAGATGCTATACTAGGCAACATCTCCCTTCAAAGTCACTGAATTAAATGTGTCATATATCAGTTAAATCATCACCTTTGCTGAATCATATTCCTGGTAAAATCAATTGGAATAAAAAAAATCAAGTGATTGAACTCATCTCTCTTAAAGAAAGAAACCTCAGCCGGGTTCGGTGGCTCAGCCTGTAATCCCGCGCCTTTGGGAGGCTGAGGTGAGTGGATTGCCTGAGCCCTCAGGTTCGAGACCCGCCTGGGCAGCAAGACCTCATCTCTACAATAAATCAAAAAATCAGCCGGGCATGG